CTACTCTGTAAACTTTCATTGGCTGAAATCTACATTTCTTTACTAACAAATTTGGTAAATGCTTTATTTTCCGCGTCGAGTTGGATTTTTCCTTCAAAAGAACATTGAAACGGAAAATTGCATTAATATTCATTTTAATTCACCTAATAGTCTTTTTTTTTTTAAACGGAAATTGCATTAATCATGATGGTCTGGTACCAACTTCCCCTGTTTCTATAAAAATCCAAAAAAGAAAGAAAATTAATGCCGTTGAAAAAATAGTTCAATCTTATGTTTACACATCCTTACAAAAACAAGATGTATCATCTTCTTCTTTGGTTCAAATTTTCAAATACAATGAAATCATTAGGAAATGAGTTTACTAATGGTTATTAGTTTATTACAATACAAAAATCTCGACCTAGACATTTGCTCAAGCCACATGGTTTCTTCACTCACTGTCACTGACATTCTCCATCCCGCATTCCAACTTCCCCCGGGGATCGATCCTCAGTCCTTTCGATTAATCTCCTCGGTTTTGAGTCGAAACAAATACAAATGTAAATATAAGGCAAAGATGATATCTTTATGCGATTTCTTCAACCAAAAGAGGCATCTTGATATCAGGACATGACGCAGAACACGAAGCTCCCTGTATCGCTTCATTGACAAAAAGAGTTTCTTGCATGGACTTCTTTATTATGGACAAACTAACGTTTCTTCTAAGGACTTTTCTACTAACTCAGGCCTTCTCCTTGGAGATAGACCTCTTTCAACCATTTCATCTTCATATTCCCTAGCCATATCCAACATTCCTTTCTGAATCAAAGCATCGATCACAGCGTTATAAGCGGCTGAATCAGGAGTATCACCAGACTCTTTCATCGTCTTCCACACAAATAAAAGCGGCTGAAGAAATCCCCATCTCTCAAACTTCCTCATAAGCATCACATAAGTATCCATCCTTGGTCTAACTCCACTCCTTATCATCCTACCAAACAGACTTAGAATCTCACTCGGTTTCTCCAACCGCGCAAAGAGACACATATAAGTAACCGAATCAGGTTGACATCCTTTCTTAGGCATCTCATCAAGCATCCGATACGCGTCCTTAATCCTCCCGTCTTCGCATAGAAGCTTAATAACCGTATTATGCGTCGCAACATTAGGTTCGCAACCTCTTTCCCTCATCTCTCGAAACACCCTGATACCAAATTCAACACCTTGCGAAGCTCCAATGGCGCGAATCACAGTGTTATAAGCAACAACATCGAGTTTTAACCTTTTACTCTTCATTTCCTTGTACAATTTCACAGCTTTCCACGGTTTTCCGCTCTTACACATTATATCCATATAAATCGAATACGAAAACAAATCCTTAGCTACACCTTCACTATCCATCTTCTCCCAATACTCCTTACATTTACCCCACCATCCCAATTTCGACCAACCACGAAGAATCAGATTATGAATCTTAGTATTACTCACACTAAAACCATTACCAATCACATTCTTCCCAAAACAAAGCTCTTCTGCTTCAACCACATGCTTATGCTCACAAAGCGAATCAACAAGGTTATAAAAAGATGTTTCATCTCTCAATTTGAAATCATCCAATCTATCATACGTATCCATAGCTTCCTGAACAAGATGTGCCATAACATAACGCTTAAACATTACACGAAACGTCACATGATTCGGGACCGAGACTGGATTTTCAGACATTCGATTAATCAAACTCCAGGATGTTTCGAACTCGAAATACTTACCCAGAATATCAATCATACGATTGAATGTCTCGGTGGTGTGTTTGAATCCGGATTCTTTCTCGACCCAGTTGAAAAACTCCATCGCCTTTTGCCAATCGTTACCGTAACATGTGAGCGCTTCGCATACTGTTTTCTGATCGTAATCGGAACTTCGAAGGTTATCATCGTCAACATTGGAAATGGAATTTCCAGATAGAAACCGAACGGAGGAAGTGTAAACAATCCGAAGTCGATCGAATCGCCGGAGATATACCGACAATTGCATTTCTCTCTGCTCTTTGAGAACGAAATTAGGGTTCCTCTAGCGGATTAGCCACAATCAACGGGCGAATTTTGACCCGATTACCCATTTTGGGCCAGTGTCTCTTTCGAATATAAAATAAAATGTGTGCTTGTTTGAGAAACATTGGAAATTTGGGGTCGATTGTGGAAATAAGATAAAGTGCAAAAATGTTATTGTTTTCACAGGTGGTACCACTACAGTTTCAAAATCCGAAAGAAGGCAAAATCCTTTCTTCCCTGAAATGG